AATAAAATAGGTGGTGTCTTAAAATCTAAGTGTCATTCTGTCCTTCAACATGTCGCACAGTACTCCATACTCCTGTTGTAAGGAGAACTTGCTAAATCTCTTTGCTCACCCTGCAAGAATAATAATTGCAGGAGTCACTAATTCGGGAAAGACGCATCTCACCACAAAAATTGTTGTGCACTATCAGAAACAGTTTGACTGTATAATCGTATGTGGGAGTGAATCTCATCCGCTAGAAAAGGAAACCTCTTTGTCTGACAAACTTATTGTTAACAAAGACGTTATAGATCCCATCAATCATAAGACAAAACCGAATGACCGCATATTATATATACTGGATAATTGCTTTATAGAAGCGGCTAATAATGACATTATAAGTAATATCTTTACAAAGAGACGACACAAAAACTTATCTGTCGTACTCCTCGTTCGAAATATTTATGAAAGGGAAGCACAGCCGCAACATTTCACTATATACCTCTCATTTTATTTTGCTAAAACAGGCATCTCGGGCAGTTGGAATGTCTCGGTAGACAGTTATATGATAAAAGTGAAGCCAAACGGTTGGATTTTTATAAAAAGTTTTTTTTCTCGAAATCTCGTGGTTATTTACTCATAGACCTCGGTTGTGAAACTCTAGATAAACTGCAATTTCGCAGTTCTAAAGGACTTGTATGAAGATTATACAAAGCCCTATGGCCTAGGTGGAATACAAGTGCTGTTAGACGCCGCTCGCGCACAATTGGGAAAGGATAATATTACACAATCGGATGTGAAAAATGCCTTGTCATCGCAGCGTGTGTATACTCTTCACAGACATACTCGCAAAAAAATCCCACGTCGCCAAACAGTGGCTATAGGGCCTTGCAAAATCTTAACGTGTGATATGGCAGACATACAAAACTTAAGGCAAAACAATAAAACCAATTATATGAAATAAAGCCAATTATATGAAATACAAAATACGGAGATATTTAAAATTCGACAGATTGACAATCGTCAAAACAGAGTCGGTTATTATCTGGAAGATTTAAGTGGCGAAGAAGTCCAAGGTTTGTGTTATCGAGAGGAGCTAGTCCCGACATCACTGCCAAGTGTTTACCTGTACAAAATCCTGTCATCGAGGTGGGACAGAAATAAAAAGCAGAGAGAATATCTTGTTAGCTGGATCGGATATTCCGACAAATTCAATTCATACATTACAATTAATGACATGCAACCCACACCACACCAACCCACACCACAAGGCAGCCCCTCACATCTCGATTTGTTGATTTACTATAGTTTATCAGTTTCATTCAAATTTCTAAAGGAAAAACTTAACCACGGAAAAAAGCATTATTGAGAAATTGAAACAATATCGACTTGCTATCGCACCGGGGAAATATTTTATCCAATCTACTCCCGCTTGCTGTAAATGCATTTACATCTTCAATTTGATAAGAAATATGAAAGAGTATTGTCTTGTTCCAAAGTCCACGGTCGACCGACATCTTACCCACCTGGTCTCTTACCTCACCCCCAACAGTAATGATACTAACAAGATTAATGATGGTGTCAACAAGAACATATTAAAATCGCCTCCGGATATCACAATGACAGCTAAAAATACCGCAATTAATGGCGGGCACGCGAGCGTCGGCGTCGGCGGCGGCAGCTGCGGGAGCGAGCGCACGTGTTGTCGCGATGTCCGTGCGGGAAATAGACGCGGGGGCGGGCGCTCGCTAATTATCCCACGCTCTACTTTTCGCAAGAAAATAAACAAAAAGAATGTGAGAAAATGCGGGTGTTCCGCTGCTAATGAGGCAATAAGCGTACCCCTTCCCTCTGCAGCTCTGCAAAGGCTTGAAAAAGCAATCCCAGGCAACGATCAGAATACACCGATAAATCCCTCATTAGAACACTTGGTAGGAATTTTCTTCAAAACAAATTAGCAAGATTATGCAAAATCTCTCTTGGAATTTTACCGTAAGCAGTCTTTAATTCGATGGGATGAATTAGGTCAGATACAATCTCCTATAATGGGGTTAAATATATTCGATGTTATCAAGTATTTTGCATCCTCATCGTCGCACTCGTTTCCTGTAAAAGAAAAGGAACTTTTGAAAATATTACAAAATTTTGCGCCAATACCATATGATTGCATACGCAGTCCAGCGGCTAAGCGGTATCTCACAGGTGTTCATAAGGCAGGTGGGAATATGAAAGTTAAGCCAATGTCCGCCCTTATGTCTGCACAGAGTAAGATGCGTTGGAACCCCTCTTAATGGTCTCGAGAGAGGATAAAACCGGCGATTCTATAATCAGAAGCGTGTGTAAGACGCATTAACGGCATTAATGAGAACTCTTCAGCAACATGTCCTCGCGCGGGAGCACAAGCAGTATATCCAACAACAGCAGCAGCAGCAGCGACGATGAAGAAAATAATGTGTCATTCAAAGTTCTAGGTAGTGAGCTTCGAAGAGAGGTGATAAAATTTTATAAGGCTCAGTACAAACATGATATTATTGTGTCATTGTGGGAGACATGTCGAGCCTTCCTTGCAAACCACTCTGAACAAGTCTACCAGCAAGAAGTTGATGATGCTGTAGAAAATTTAAAGCATGCCTCCCAGCAAGAAGCACTACGCACAGTTTCAAAATAACGCAGGCTCTCCAGTTTATACAATCAAGTCTATTGCCTTTGAAATGGGTTATCGATTGTGTACAAAGGTGCACAGATGATTATAACGCATTAAGTGGGCAGGGTGCTGACATGCACGAGCGAGTAACGACAGGACCCTATGGGTATAAAGCGAGGATGCGAGCGGTGATGAGTTATACTACTGCCTTGCTTGTGCAAGAAGACGGCCGAGGAAGTGTCTCCGCGTCAGCACGCTGCCGCTGTTGATGCCGTTCCTCATTTTGTCAGGCGCTACAGAGAGATGATTAATGAAGAGGAGGAAGAACGACCGTTAATGGAAGCGCCTTCTGTCCGTGCGAGGTTAACTCGCGGGGATTATCTATACCCCCTGTTCATTAGAAAAGGAGGTATTCTCCAGCATGAGTTGCAGAAAGACACCGCCGTATGCGTCATTGCTAATGCATGCGGAAAGACTGCTTATGCTACATCGGTCATATTGGGGGAAAAAATATGCATATGCTGATTACTACAGATAAAAAAGCGGTTATTTTCTACATCGAGGGCTATTGTAGCCGACAGATGCTACCGGGGTCGTTAGTGTGAAACAGGGAGATGGGCCTGTAATTATCTATCTCGTTGCCCACTTTGGTCCCGGGAGAGCCCTGGAAAATGAAATTGCCATGAAACAATTAAAGTCCAGTATGGATAGACATTATGTTGATGGATTGGCGTGTGACGGGTCGGAGAACCGACGAAGAAATTTGGGTGAATGTCTCGATTCATTCTTTAATCAGCTTCAAGAGATGAATATTTGGATCTTATTTCCAGTTGAAGTGGAAGGAGGCAGTTGGAGCCATGCATACATTGAGCTTTTACAAGACTTTGCAGCACGGTGTATGCCTTTGAAGATATCTGTCGCTGCTGTGCGTGAGCCCTCTCCTTTTGCCTGGACCGGACATTAGAAACAAACAACCCAGGTATAATGAAGATGATGAAGGACGGTGAAATTCCTGCGAACAGCGGCGGACATCGAAGCTACCGAGGCAGCTGGAAAATGATAATTAATATCTCATGTTCTGTGGCATTTGTACTTATTTGATTTATATATATTTATCATTAATAAAATAAGGTTATGAATTACTCCTTTAGTCTTATTATCCTTTATATCTTTGTTATAAAGGGTGAAATTATTGATGCAACTCTCAGTCTGTCATCAACTTCTACCATGGAGACTGACAATCAGTACATATATATTACCAGTACTGCATCGAAAGATGTTTTCTACACTTCTATGCATTTGAAAACGTCATTTCGCCGCTAATGTTGGATCCTTCCATGGATTATGAAGTGGCACTGGTTAATTTTTTGCATCCCAAAAATTACTACAGCATCATAGCAAATTCAATTAATTAGTGTTTGTGATAACAGTGCTCACCCAATTATGATTGACATGTTTAAGTACGTCCCGAAATTTAGCATGCTGGGTCATGCGAGAGAACCAAATATTATGATAGATATGATTAATAAAGATATAACGGAACAAATTGCATTAGATGCAATTCAAAAATATATGCCGCAGGGGAGACTTCTTATACATGACTGGGAAACAGAGCGCGTTCGCGTAGAAATTATCGTTCACACAGTGGGTGATGGTAGGGAAACACGCTGTCATCCCGATATGGCTGTTCGCTTCTCGCCTCGTCTGGCGCACATATTAGGGTTTAGCGAAAGAAAAATATATCGCTGTTATGTTCCTCGCACAGTATCTGTTCATTATAAATGGTTATTATATAATCAGAATATAAGTATGAGACCACCGAGAAATGATGGCGGTGTGGACTTTATGTGTATTCAGACATTGTTGTTCCTTATCGATTTGCGGGACAGCAGGTAAACATCTTGGATGCATTTGCTTTGCAAGGTTCGAGTACAAAAGGGTATACACCCACACTTTATAAAGAGCTCTTAAATAAGACTTTAAATTCTGTGGGGGTGCGCATTACAGATCAGAATGGTTATCCAATTGTTTTCGAGGAAGGACGTTCTATTATGCTTATATTGCACATAATATCACGGTAAATAAAGTATGCCCGTATATAAAGACAGTACGTACATATCTTTGCTTATTTTACATTAGAACGCAGTCCTGGTGTGTTTGCTTTATGCATAACAAAGATAGATACCATTTTGATTTCCACCATGTATGTAAGAGCACCCTTTGTCCCTCCCACTACCGAGGAATTCATGGTAATATTTGAACAATGTGAAGGGTTTGTGTTATTTCCCTATTTTTAAGAGTATGGTAAGCACGAGAGTGCGAATAGTGTGTTCGGGCTTCACTCCGCTCCGAAGCATTAGGCTTCGCAGCGAGGTGTCGCCCAGAGATAACTTGTGAACCACCTAAGCTATGACCATCTCACTTAGCTTCGATCTCTGCAGCACCTCAGTAAGTGTCTTGTTTTATTCTGATATATTTTCTGTTTAGCTTGTTTGTTTAAAGCATTATTTTTTGTTCAGTTATATTATGTACTTGGGAAAGTTATGGCAAATGTATAATGTATATTATACCCTTGTTTACAGCCTCTTTTGATTTGTCTGCTTCATGGAATGTTTGTCTTCAAGCATTGTGAGCGCATAACAAGCGAGGAACCGTCCTAAGATTCGTGCTGGCGAAGACGGATTACTTATGCTGTTGCATCCATGAGCAGAAAACTAGTGTTATGAACTTTTGTGCTTCCATTTTCAAGGATTTTATCCTTTGTGGTTTTTGTATCTGAGACATTTCTAAGTGTATATATTTGTGAATATATATTTTACAGTATGAAGCTTATTATTTTGGTTAAAGCCCTTTTGATAAGCCATTCCAGTCCGGGATAATTTAAAAGAACAACGTGGATTTATGAAAGTAATCAGAAAACCCCCAACAAACAACCGGAATCGCAGATTAAACAGTTTCAAGGAGGGGGTTTGGGGGACATGAATGTATACAAGTCTTATGACCATTACAGAAGAGGTGCCGGATTATTATCTTTTCTCGGAAATATTGGCAAGAGATTAATTCCATTTGCTTCTAAGCTTGAGGTCTATGAAAAAGAGGAGCGGAGGCTGTCAAACATATCGGCGCGAGAGCAATGAGAGGGGGAGGAGGAGGAGAGGAGGAGGAGAGGATGCGTAAAAACGAAGAGTGAAGAGATTAACGATTCGACCAAGTTGTTCAACCTATAAAATAGATGTTTTTTCTTTGACTTAATTAGTCTTGCCTTGCCGCCGTGTGGAGTCGACGTCCTGCCTCTTAATGCAGGGATAAATGGGTCTGTTATAGATAATTATGCAGAATTCAGATGGCCTGCCGGGCAGAATTGTTATATTGACCTGTCAAGATTGGTTCTGGAGATTAAGGGTAGTCTGAAGAAAGGAGATGACCTCTCATTGGGCGATGATGATTATGCACTGTTGTGCAACTCTGCTATGCACTCACTAATTAAATCTGTGTCGGTTTACTTTAATGGTCAGCAAGTAGAACAAAATTCTCTGTATAATTTTTCGTCCTATGTTCGCATAGAAACGGGTATGTCTCCTTCCTTCACTGAAAAAAAAAAAAAAAATTGGAAGATAATACATATCATAGTTCTAGTGTAGTGACCTACAAAGGATTTGTCCCCACGAGGACGGGAATGCACGAGTCCCCCCGGAAAGGATGGGATATAACATCTTCCCTGGCGAACTAGATCCATCAAGACGGCGGCCTTTTTATATATTATTTGTTTCATTGATTTTATTAAATTAGATTTTAAGTAAATCGTTCAGGACTTAAAGCCCGTTTTCTTTCATTTTTATGTACATTTTTGAGAACTTTTTTTTAGATAAGGGAAATAGCTTGTTTTAATTATCTTTTCTTTTAATTTTTGTTTTTAGTTATTTTTAATAAGGGGTTCGCTTTTCATAAGTAAGTTTTACCTATATTTATAGATTTAAATAATTTAATTGGTCAGCACCATCTATTGGCAATTTCCGCCCAAAACCCTCTCCTTGCTGTAGTCCTCCGCCTAGGCTACCGTTTCATTGGGGGCAAAGATTATAAATAGGCTGGGAATCGTGGGCTTCGTCCTCAGATCCTCCTGAGCTCTTTCTGTGACTTTCCCTTATGCTTTTCTAGCCTGTACTCGCAATTCTGAACTCTTAACTTTTCTACCCCTACCCCTCTCTACCTTACTCTACCCCTACCCCTCTCTACCTTACTCGACCCCTACGTGTTTTATACGTTTGTTTTTGAGTTTTGAAATATACAAATAATTTTAACATGTATTCTATGATTCCTCAGGAAATTTTCTGTTTATAAGATATTTCACCACGGAATAAGGAAAAAGAATAATTTAAAGAAATGACTAAAAGATAAAGTAAAATACAAAAAGTGAAGGTGAAATAAGTTACGAAAATAAATAATTCATTAAAATTGGAACATTAGAAGATCCAGAGTATAAATCTAAAGGGCTATAATAGAAGGTTGCGGACGTTTGTAGGCAGTTTCTCAGAGGGGGATATGTGTTGCGAGGGTGTTTCTTGGCCGATCAACTGCCCATTAGACAAGATCGTACAAGATATAATGAATTTTTTGTGGTTAACATACTTGCGTCTCGGCACAGACCAACATTAATGGGTCATTATGTATTAGTTGTTGGGAAATGTTGCATTGCCTACTTTTGATTCCTACTGAATCAAACCTCATATTTATTCTCCATGGTTGCAAAGATTTATCAACTAGTATTATGTTTCCTTGATATTAGCAGACATTTGCAAAGCATTGATAGTTTAACATGTGGTGCCTATGCGATATTTACCATGTACCATATTAATTTGCACGGAATAGAATATATTAATTTTCTGTCCTGTTATTTTTCACAGGATGATTTTAGATATAATAGAAAACTAAAAAGGAATGCGAGCAAATGTTTTGCAGATAATGAAGTCCAGACCTCACCCCTTCACCCCTCCCCCTCGTGTTTTTTCGAGGCTGGGATTGGTGGGATCTGCTGGTTCTCAGATCTTGTATAAAAGGCGGTCGATTCTGAAGGGTGATAGTGTTTTTCTTAAGCATACCAAGATGAACTCAACCTTTATGAAGAATACCTCACTGCCAGGTAAAACATTTTTGATTTTTTTTTTTTTTTTTTATCGGCATTTGACTTGTATTATGACTCTAATGAACATTTTTGATATTTTGTGTAATTGTTTTTTAGATGTTGAAGGGTAATTCATCGGTGTTTTTTTTTATTTACAGGTGTTGCTGCTGGAAGTACTATAGCAATTTTTCATTGGGATGGATCTATTAACTTATTCACCTTTTACAAAGGTGAGTCTCTGAAAACTTTTAATTTATCAGACATTTATCAGACATATGTATTTTTATTTGTGTACTGTTGCCATTGTAATTCCTGGTGTGTTAATGTCTAACTCTGTTGCAGCTTATGAGGATGGTGCCGATGCGTGTTATTGTTTTACATAAACAGTGTGCGGTCTCAATCAGCATTATCCCCGAGAAAAAGAAGGGTGCTCGGATCGTTATTCTCTCCCGTTGAAACCAGCACCTCCGGGATGGCAGCGGAGAGAGCTGGCACTTTCGTGGAACC